CCAGAGTCCCTGGAGAAAGGCCTGGAGAGAGAGCAAAATCCAAGTTGCTTGAATATCCACGTGTGAAGTATCCCACAGTCAGACGATGTTGGGGAGCCCCATGTCAGCTGCATGGTGTCTGGTCCCACTGTGTTCTCATCAAGCCAGAGTAATGCAGCTGTGTACCAAAGAGATTTTAGAGCACTACATGCCCCCCCCCCCCCCCCCCCCCCCCCCCCTTCGTCTGCTGAAAAGCTCATGAGATGAGGATTCATTTTCCAAGCATGATCTGCACCTGCCCACAGATGCCAAAAACCACCAGTAACTGTGTACTGAACATGGCAAATACTGTCCTCGATTGGCCTGACAAATTCCCAACTGACCTGAACCCAATACGAGAATATTGGGTATTGTGAAGAAAAACCTGAAAGAACCACCACCAGAACCCAAACAATGCTAAATAGACTAAAGGCCAGTATCTGAAGCATCCTGGCAATCCATAACACCTCAGCAATCGCCACAGGAACTGATTGCCTCCATGCCACGCCGCAATTGATGCCAGTAATCCGTGCAAAAGGAATTCCCAACACAGTACTGAGTGCATTAATGAACATTTTCAATGTTATGATTGTGTTTTTGCTGTTTAACTTTTTTTTACTTGGTCTGAGGAACTATCTAATTTTTGAGATAGGGATTTTGAGTTTCTTTAAGCTGTACGCCATAAATCAGCCAATATTAAATAATAAAAGGCTTGCAATATTTCCAGTTGATTTGAAAATGAGAATCCAGAATGGTATGACATTTTTGTTTTTTTAATTGCATTACAGAAAATAAAGAACTTTATCACAATATTCTAATTTTCTGAGACAGTCCTGTATATCAGCAATTAAACAACATCTTCAATTTTTCCTTGCATCAACATTAATTCGGCTGACTTTTATGTTTGATCCAATTGGTAGATAGGTTATATTTACACCATAATGGTGCACAGCTGATAGAAAAGGACTTGTAGTTTTTAAATATATTACTGATTTTCTTTGAATATAAGAATATAAATACTGAATTGAGAGAATAGTCAGGGGTTTTGGGTGATGGGAGACACATCTATGGAATCAGAATTGCAATAGCTTACCATTAAATTATGGATATACCTTTCCGTCTATGTTTTACAAAAACCCGTTCGGGTCCAGTTTTGGATAGTTTGCCGTGGTTTCGTTCCATTTCAAAGTGCTGTTTGAAGCTCTGCGTAACTTTGGCGCACTGCCACTCCAACATGCAATCCCAGAGCTTGAAGATTAATCACTGGGTTTTTTCAAGCAAAGGGACTGTTGTCCCAAACGATAGCTGGGGATTATGGGTAGTGTCTTCGGCCATCCTAAACTCCGAAATGTTTTTCGGATTTCATATCGCATAAACACCATATCTCAACGTGCATTGCGGCTAAACTATCCAATCACCGAGCTTAAACCATAGCTGAGGATCTCGGGTAATCAGTTCAGTGGGTGTGTATCTGTTTCCGGTTATTTTATTTTGAAATTCAGTTCCTGACGGACGCCAAAAAAGCCAGAGATTATAGAATTAAACAAATAAATACAAACTAGGATAATTGTGTGTTATTGTTGAGTAAATAACATTGTGTTATTTAGAAAAGAATAACAAATCAGATGGAATTTTTTTTTTTTAAATACATATTTCAGTATTCTGAGGCTCTGAGCCCCATTTCTTTTCCTCACAGACGACAAAAAAAGTCCGACATTATACGATTTAAAATACAAACAATAATCGTGGCTTGATATTGTGTAAGAACATATTTTTATGAACCACACAGCTTCCGGTCTTCCAAGATCCGACCGGACAAAAAGACGTAGTGCAGGCACGAAACATACTACCAATAGAAATACATTGCTTTTTTTTTTTAATCGTTCTGTGTGACACGAAAAAAAGGGGAAAATCGTGTTGGTGAACACGAATCAATAGATTAAATGTCGTGACTATAACATGAAATGCCGTGAGACTGGGTTGAGACAGAAGTGGTTTGTCATCATTATGAAACATGTGACTTTGGTACCCTTAATTTGCAGTTAATTTGCTGTTTCCTATCTTAGTTGCAGATCTGTGCTAATATATGTTGGATGCATTTGAACATGTAGCAAGCAAAGGAGATTTATTTGGGAGACAATCCATGTAAATACTTAACTCAAATATGGTGGCTTTTCCTTTCGTCTGGAAATTATAGTGGATGGTTAATGGAACATATAGTACAAAAGACTATTTTTGGAAAATATTATAAAGCTAACACAGGAGTACACAGCAGCAACACCTGTGCAATATAGAAAGCTACTTTGTGAAGCTTAAAACGTTCAGTAATGTTCAGACGGTGTGAAATGTGTTTATACAACAACAGCTGCCATTTTTAATTTAGAATTTTGATTTTATGACTTTTTGCAGATGTTATTGTGTTCACTGAAGTAATTTTGAACATAGCCTAAGGCACCTTTGCAAACTGCTTTATTTGATGATAAATGGACATAAATCCAATCTATAGGCACTAGGATTTGAAAACATCTGTCTGTCACGATTGAGAGCAGAGCAGGGTGGAACCAAAGGCAGGATTTTCAAATGTTCTCCAGAAAAATAACTTTAATGGCAGGTAATCGACGGAGCAAGGCAAGGCTAAACAAATGGTAAAAAGCTCTCTGACGCACAACCAACAACTACTTACAGAGAACTTAAATACATGCAGGACTAATCACAAGGAAAAAAAACAGCTGGGCAGAACAGGCATGCGTACAAAAAGAAACAGAAGAAACTTTTGATCAAGAATCATGGAGTACTGTAGTTTATCTAGACTGCTGTCCGTGTCCGGTGTCAAGCCAAAAGTCTACGTTGACGTATTTTAACATACGTACATGAGTTAACTTACATCACATACACGTACTTACCTTATCTACATAACTGAAGTTAACCAAACCACTTTATTTTAGTTTTTATTCACAAAGCACATGTTGAAGTTTGTTTTGGATGCACTATTGCTAATGCACTAAATCATATCGGACAGTATCTTTTTTGCCACTCACTTGCAATAACAAGGCACCATTACTCTTCAAGGCCATTTACATAATCACTTGAATATGAGAATGATGAGTTTGATTAGAGAATTAATATCCATTCAAACAAAATCACTTACTAATTTTAAGAAACACAAAACATTTGCAAATGAGACCACATAATGGTTTATTTGAACTAAAAGTGGACAGCTGGTGTGTATGGCGCTTAGAATGAACATTATCTTATTGTGCTTATTGTAAATGAGATGCTAAAATGTGTTTTTTTCTGTCATTTCTTCAGGCCTACACAATTCAGGGACAGTACGCCATACCCCATCCAGATGTGAGTTCTCGGTCTCTTTCTAATACAATCAAGAATTCTACTGAAATCTAAATGATCTACATTTTCAAAATAGTAACAGACATGTTGTGTCATGGACACAATAGCTCTTTAGAAGCTATTAAGAGGCAAGTCATAAATTGCGACTTTCATGAAAACTAATCTCGTTCTTTATGGGTGGACTGAAGCTCAACCGACGGAAACAACTCGTACCAGTTGTGGTTGATAACAAAACATTGACACCTTGTGATATCGATAAAGGCAAATACATTGATGGTAGTTATGATATAGACACCCCTTTTACTTTTGGTGGGCCATGTAGTCTCCATTAATAATCTGCCTTCATCTGTCCTTGTCGTGAGCGCATCTCAAGATCTACCTTGTGTCAGATCCACTAATTCAAAGTTGGGCATTGATTGATGCCGCTTGAGTTGGTGGTTGACGGCACAATCACTCAAGTACAGGCATGACATCCTCTCCCACCCTCATTAAAACTCCTCTTAAAAGGAGGCGAAGGCTTGAAAGCATCCGTCTTCCCCCATTGCTGATGGAAATAATCCACAGCAGGGGATGGAAATCCTGTGACCATGTCGAGGGTTGGCGGATGCTCTGACAGGCATGTAAAGCCAAAGGTTCCCAGTTCTGAGTCATAGTGCCAGATAGAAGGACACAATGGTAATCGAGGGGGCAAATGGGAATGAATTATTCCCTACATTTGGTTAATGAGCCCTTGAGCGAACTTCTTTCGCTCTCCATTTTCTTAAAAGACAAACAAATGACATATGTGTCAAAGAGGAAAGGAATCAGGACCCAAATGCAGAATTCAAGAGGTGGCTATAATAATATAAACACATTTTTTGAATTCAAGCTGGTACAAATAAATACTTTATGAAAAATGGAGGAACCAGCAAGGTCAACCAAAAGGAAAAGTAGCAAACAAAAAGGAGAAACAAACCGGGAGAACAATGGAGGATGCGGAAATCCAGAATATTACAGACAGGAAACCAGGAACCAAACCGAAGAAACAATGACGACAAATTGACAAAGAACACTATAGCGAAGACAGGTATAAATACACACTAATCACCAAAACAAGACACAGCTGAGGAGGGCATGCAAAACAAAATTGGTACTAGGTGTAATGAATTCGACAATCAAACAGGCGGGAAAACACAGAGACGGGAAGTAAAACAAGACAAGACACAAGGACAAAATACATTTCAAAATAAAACAGCAAACCAAAACTTAGATCGTAACAGTGTTTGAAAAAAAAAGGCAAATTACGTAGCAATTTGCCAATCCATGACAGACAATCACCCTCTCTCTTTTACCTCCTTTTCCCTTACTTTTGTCCCCCACCACCCTGTGTCATTGCCTCCTTCTCCTCACCGTTTCTTCACTTTAGTTTCTGTTAATTTCTTGGTGAGACCTGTGTACCAGTAACCTCTTAGTTCTACTTTCCCTCCTAACCCTTCAGCAGTTGACCAAGCTCCACCAGTTGGCTATGCAGCAAACCCCCTTTACCCCCCTCGGACAGACCACCCCTGCTTTCCCTGGTACGTACCCACAAGGCCCTTGAGAAACATTTTTCTCTTTCCCTTCCTGCCCTTATCTCTTTTGGCACAGCATGACTTAACCCCTGTGGTTTCTCTCCTTCTTTGATTTTTTCCTTGTATATATCTTTCTCTTGGCTCTGTCTGATAGTATGCCAATGGTATGCAAAAAGAACAATCTAAAAAAACAGTGGGACTGACTTTCAAACAATGCATTGAGGAATGCATTATCTCTTGGCGACACATTTTTAGGTTGCCTAACTTTCCATTAAAGATGAAAAACTCCCGTGAAATAGGCTGCCCACATTGTTCTGTTTTAACTAACTGAATATCACCCCCACATCCAAATTGAACTTGTTCACCCAACTGAGGATCTCATGAATAATTTCATTTTGATTCTTTTTTTCCCTACTTTCATCTAGGATGTGGCAATTACCATTATACATGGATTTATTTATTGAATCATCAGGAGTTCTTGTGAAAATGTGCTCTAATTTAAATGTGTTTTAGCTGACTTTATTCACATTCTATCCAATCACACACGTGACTTAATAAAGAATGAAGAGAAACAGCGTAAAAAAAACAGCAAAAAGATCCGCTGAGAAATAGGCTTACGAAGTTCTCAAAGTAATACTTTGATATTTTGGAAATACGCTTAGTCAAGAGTGCAACAAAACTTCTCATCTAATTCTTGGCTAAGGAGGTAATAAGCGTATTTCCCAAAATTTCAAAATAATTCTGCTGAAGTAAAGTGGGCTTTTTAGTCAAGTCTCCCTTCTTATCCAATTGCTCCCCAATTCAGGTTTGGATGCCAATCCACCAGCCAGTACCCATGAACTCGCCATTCCCAATGATGTGAGTAATGCTTTTTGGAGACAGCTGATACTGTGTGTTTTTTCATTATGTACCTTTCAATGTAGGTGTCTTTCATTTGGCATTGTCATACAACATTTGAACGATGTTAAGAAAGTTTTAATTGTGCAAAAAATGCAAGGTTGCAAAGACAACAGTCATATCACTGCAATTGAACAGGGTAGTTGGCAGTTGTAAGTGTTAATTGAGTCAAGAGAAAATACATATTTGCACACAGAGTACCCTAAGTCAATCCTGTTTTTTAAACGATAAATATAAATGTTAAATAATGAGCCAATGAGATTACAAACAAGGACCCTGCAAACTCCACTTCTTGTAAAGCAGAATTCCACCAATCAGCTGATCTAGTGACCATGTTACACTTAATCAAACCTGATTTCTGTAGTGATAGGATTTAAATGGAACCCAGACCATTTCATGCCCCATTAAACACCTTTTTAAATGTAAAATGTTTAAGGTATGAGGATACATGTATTGCTTAATGCTCCAAATTCTTTCTCTCCTCCCCCCAGCTAATAGGCTGCATCATTGGACGCCAGGGAACCAAAATAAACGAGATCCGACAGATGTCTGGAGCGCAGATCAAAATCGCGAATGCCATGGAGGGCTCCTCGGAGCGCCAGATCACCATCACAGGGACTCCTGCCAACATCAGTTTGGCCCAGTATCTCATCAATGCCAGGTAAACTTTAACCCTATCTGCTGGGATCTGGCACAATTCCGAAGGTTCAAACCTGTAGCTGTGTAGCTTTCTAGTTTAATTCTGACATTCATGACATTGATACCTTGATGGATTGCCAGAAAAAGCACCATATCTGACAGGTTTTGACAAGCAGATGAATAATTTTTTTCTTTTTTCTTCTTTCTTTTGTCCTTTATTTCAACCCAAGTGTAGGCATTAAAATGCATCGAGTTTTTAGCTAGTACCCTCTTTGCAAGTAAGTTGCTCCTGGAAGCAATGCCAAATACTGAGACAAGTAAGCTGTGTCTTTGAACAGAATCTGCAGATAAGTAAACTGTGTTCAGTCAGTCAATTATCAAATTATGTTATTCAATTAAAAGCAACTACCTCAAAGACGAAATGTGTTGAGCCCCAAGCCGAGACCCAGGGCAGGTTCTGGATTGTGAACAGTACAATTCCGAGAAACCTATTTTTTCATTTTAATATCTCCGCTAGATTCTGTACCCCTCTGTGTCCTGTTCTCCCTGCTGAAACCAGTTATACATTATCAGCTCTGAGAAAAACCAACCCTCACTGATGTCCCCAGGATATCTGCACCTCAAAGTCAAATGTTATCAATGTCAGAGCAGCCACAAACTCAACAAACAGGACTTTCAGTCTTTGATGACAGTCCGCTGAAAAACTAATAGCAATTGCTTTCCCACAATTCCAATGGCAGGTTCAGGGACGTGGCTGCCATGTGGAATGACCCCTCATCCATGACTACATCCTGAAGTCACCCCAAATCTGCTTCTGTTTGCAAAAGCTAACATCAAAACCGCTGTTTCACAATGAACCTCTGTGTGTTATCCCATTGAACTTCCCCTTTAGACTCCCTTGCACAACACTTAGCATTAGCCAATACAATTGATAACACTGTCATTAGTTTTTAAATGATGGAGCCAGTGTATCGTTTAGAATAGTTTGACATTTTTGTCAAATTCTGTTCTTATAATTGCTCGGGGTCAGATAATACGGTTGATACCACTTTCATCTCTGTCCGTTAAATATGTAACCATATCCAGGAGAAGGTTAGCTTAGCTAGCTAGTCAGAAGCTTATGGTGGGTTCAATTTGTATTTGAAAGTCGGAAATTGGAGTTGTGAATTACGCCTCACCCTTTTCAACAGAAACAGTTCTAAGCCAGTTCTAGACATTCAAGCTTTAGCGACCAATACCAGTTTACAAGGTATTATATTTTGTGCATACACTTAAGCAACAGGTCCACAAATAAAAGTTGTACGGTATTGTGTGTATAGATATACTAATAAACTGTAAATTAAGATATATTTTACTTAACAGCCATCTTGGAATTTGATGTCTGGGTGATGAGATACTCCCAACATTCCTTATTGGAAATGCTACTTCAGGGGGTTTTCGGCTTAATTTTCTTCGAGTAGAAAATGGGAAATGTCATTAAACCGTTACAAATTGAACGCATCAGTTTGCTTGGCTCTGTCTAAAGGAGACAATCATTTTGCTTACCCGCACCTATAAAGCTCACTCATTAACATGGTGGCACCCTCACATTGAGATAAAGGCTCCAGGAAGTCATGCCTTTTTTTGTGACATGCTCTGTTATGCTATGCTAAACACCTCCTGGCTGCAACTTTAACATAAGGGAGGTATTAACCTTCTCATTTTGCTGTAAGAAAAAAAAAGCACATTTCAAAATGTCTAATTATTTCTTTAAGTGTTTAATTAGCATGCCTTATTCCAAGAATAATATTGTCTTTCTGTTTTTCATTGTTCTATTGGATAAATGTGCCTATTTAGTCCTATTGTGTCATTGTCTGAAATAGTAAAATGAATAAAAAATGTAAAATAAATAAAAGTAAAAAAAGACAAAACACATGTCTGCCAATCGAGCAACGCTGTTGAGAGAAGAGTGATGTGATGCCTCTGTCAGGGAATACAGCAATTTATACACATTTCATACACCATTATTTTCTCCTCACTGCATGGTTTCATCAGGGGGATAGAACTGCATGGTTAAATACCATATTTTTAGAAGTAAAGGTGTTTTTTGTTGAAGGGTATTATATATGGTATCAAATCTGCGGAGAAAACTACAACCTGCAGTGTCAGCAAACACTGGAGCACAGAACCAGCCATTGCAGCTTTACTTTCACTTCCAAGGGAAAGTTCTTCTTTCACAGAGACTGCCAAGGCACAC